CACACACGTTGGGTTTCTTTGTTCGGCTGAACAAAAGAAGTGTAGAAGCTCTAGAGAAGCAGCTCAGCTTCCATCAGACACACATGCACACAAAGATAGGAGAGATAAGGGGATGTATTCCTGCTGCTCAGGTTCCAACACACAAACCACAATCACACATAAATACAGAGTCATCAGGAAAGGGAGTGTGGGACTGCTTCTTTTCAGAGTCCTAGACATACAATCCCAAAGGGCTAAGCAGACCTCGGAGCATCTGACACACACAGGTGGTACTCACGGTCAGAGCAGTAGTCTCCCTGCCATCCCTCCAGGCATTCCCTGTTTCCGTTCTCATCACAGGTGTAGTGTCCCAGTGTATCATCACGAGGACGGCAGTAATCCGAACACACCTCACCAAAGTAAAACTCATCACAGAAAACATGATACGAGTAACGGAGCTCACTCTGGTCTCCAAAATGAACATCCTGAGACCAGTCTTCTCCAATCGCCAAGCGCCTTCGTGTTGCTAAACGACTGATCAGGTTGTTTTGATTCTCTGTTGTGGGAAAAAAGAAAAACTTAAGCTTGAAGGAATAATTGAATAAATTAAAAAACTCTTATGTCTGTATGTTTGCTTTCCATCACACTGTGTAGCCCACCTGTGTAGTCATGATGCTCTTTTGGAGACTCAGCATTCCATGCCTCAATAATAAGAGAAAACGTCCCCTGAAAAGAACAAGATGTTATTTTAGATGTTAAAAAAAATCATATCATCTTTGCTGAAACTGAGAAGCAAACGTTCTCTATTGTCTTCCACTTATATGTGACCCTGGACCACAAAACCAGTCATAAGTAGCACAGGTATATTTGTAGCAATAGCCAACAATACATTCTATGGGTCAAAATTATCGTGTTTTTTTTTTCTTCTCTCTTTTATGCCAAAAATCATTAGAATATTAAGTAAAGATCATGTTCCATGAAGATATTTTGTAAATTTCCTACCCTAAATATATCAAAACTTAATATTTGATTAGTAATAGGCATTGTTAAGAACTTCATTTGGACAACTTTAAAGGCGATTTTCTCAATTTTTCTTTTCGTTTTTTTGCACCCTCAGATTCTATTCAAATTGCTGTTTCAGATAGTTATATGTTCCTATCCTAACAAACATACATCAATGGGAAGCTTATTTATTCAGCTTTCAGATGATGTATAAATCTCAATTATTATTATTTTTTTTCTTAATTGAACCTTATGACCAGTTTTGTGTTTCCGGGGTCACATATTTGTTATGAACTGACAGTTCCAGACTGTTGCATGGTCTTGTTTATGGTCTTACAGTAAGTGTTAAACTTAAGTGCATCTAGACAGTAATGTAAAGAATGTTCAAACTTTACCGGCCACTTGAAGTGGAAAGGCACCCGGATGGCTGCGCTGCTGGCTATAGAGCTCTGGTCCGCTCGCAGGACATTCGTCTGTCCGGTTCCGAAGGTGCACGGAGGCTCAGCGGAGATGACGTCTTCCGAATGCTTCAGACAAATCCTGAAAAAGATGTTGCAGTCTCGCGTCCTCCTGCAGAAGCGGCGTGTCGTGCTGAACGAGTGAACTTTCAATTCAAATACACCCGATGAAGCCACCTGTTCACGAATAGAGAAACCGTGTGGCTTCTGAAACTTTTGGAAATAATAAACAGAATACTATACCTAGGGGGCAAATATCTATAAACTCACATTAAAGAGAAAATGAAACGATAAACGAAGTATAAGCCCTGAACTGGCTCCTTACCAACTGCAAAAGCGACACAGACAGCAGGCAGTACAAAGACAGATGCGCCATCTCGCTCAGTTAATCCTAAACTTTATTACAATAACACACAAGTATCTTCATCCGTTACTTCCCAGACTTCAAAGTGTTTGGAGATTAAGAAAAAAAAATAGATGTCCTGGTACGAAATCCTCGTCAGGTCCATAAAAGTCCACTGTGTATTCAGAGGAAAAGCGCACTCGTAATCTTCGTCCTTCAGCGCTTGCGGTTTGTCTTCATTGAATGTCTTGACTCTTCATGAATGGATGCTGTTATATACGCCTTGCCCCCCTGCATGTGACGTCAGCGGGGACATATGGCATAATATTGGCCTGATTAGATTGATATGCTGCATGTGGCAGTCGTGTTGATGGAGTTAGAGTTGAAGTTAGCCTCACTGCTGCCTGTATCAGAACAGGGAATTTTAATTACAGTGATACATGCCAGATGGGCACAGTTCTCGAGTATGAAAACCCGATGAATCTTCCTTTATTTTGTGAGGTATTAAAAATAAATTTAGCAAACAGCAAGTGTTACACTTATGTCGAATTTTAGAATTAGTTTATTATTCGTACGCCTTGAATATATGCACATAATTATGCATAGATTAATACGTTGCTGTAGACGGACGGATCTGTAGCCTATTAGATTTGGTTTTGTTTTGTCTTCATTGAGCCTCTATGGGAAATATTCCCAGCAGGTTGCCTACAATATGCTTATTAAAAATAAAAGTAAAACAAATAGATATGCTACTTATAATGCATCTTTACATCACCTACCTACGCTGATTTACCTTAGTAGCTATATGCTCTTACATGCATGCTTCAGAATGCGATTTTGTAATTGTACAGTTAGGCTATGATCATAAAGGAAGTTTGTTAAGTTTGTTTGAAAATAAAAATCATATAAGAGACCATATAGCTAAATCTCTGCAACGATTTAGATGTAAAAAATGTTTTCACAGTGAAAAATTCGTTTAATTATTCATTTTTATATAGGCTAACCAATTAAATATAAACAATTAGGCCTATAACATGGGCGTTTTTTCATTTAGTAAAAATTCCATGTTCATGGTTTCACTTTTTATGGTTCCTGAGTTGTATACTGTAGGCTACTTCTATCGCGCACACGTTTCTGTTTTTAATTATTTCCTCTGTCCCCTAAACACACACACACACACACACACACACACACACACACACTCAATCAGTGTGGTCGCTGTGGCGCGTGCGGGCAGGGGGAGGCCATAAGTTTTTATTTGCAATGTTCTTTGTGTCTGCAGGCACAAGTGAGTGTGTGTGTATGAGTGTGTGTGTGTGTGTCTTTTGTTGTGCAGTATGCAGAGACGCTCAGGCTGCTCTGGAGGATGGGTGGGGAAATATCATGACGCTTTTGTGTGGGTCAGCTCCAACAGCTGTATGTTAACAGGCGGCACATGGTCACTTATTGTCCGCCACAAACCGCCCGAACTCACCCAACCGGCATCTGTTGCAGCCGGTTGCAGCCATTCCACTTTTTTTTTAAAACAACTTATAGGCTAGTATTTTCTGACATATAGACCTGTTTATTATTTTCCCACAGTAGTAGGCCTACTGTGGGATTATTAGAAAATATTGGAATATCGAATATAAGAACAACTGCACCCAAATCTTTATGTCATTCAGTGTTTGTGGAAACTAAATGGAATTAATGGAATATATGTCCATTCATTGTTACTTATGGTTGTGTGAGTGCGTGTTTGACTGCTGTTGTTATGGTAATGAATGACGCGTGCCTCAGAACCCTTTCATTAAGCCATATCACAATGCATCACTTTAATGTCTTTTAAAATACATCATATATAATGTCTCAAAGACCACAGATATATGTAAATTAATCTTCAAAGTGTGAAGACAACAGTCAGTCAGGAGAAATACCCTGACACTGTAAGCAAACAAAATCACTTTATTCAACTACTATTATGATTCTATAGCCTAGTTGATTAAGGCGATGCTGTGGGAACAAAGGCCCATTTTATGCCACACACTGTGTTGTATCTCGTGTAGCCTGTTGGTAGTGATAAACTTTGTCATGTGGGTGAGAGGACAGATGACCAGGTGAGGAAAACAAGCATGCAAATTTGTGATCAGTAGCCTATTAATACAGCAATTGTGCCAATGATGTTTCGCACCTTTTACAACAAAAGCTTTTATTATAAAGAAGGTCTTTCAGTTAATGATGACCTGAATTAAAGACTTTAACTTCAAGCTGTTGTCCATGAACAAAGACTCTTTATGATAAAAGTCATGTAGTAACAAGCAGGCACGTGCACAGGTAGGGCTCAACCTGTGCAGAGCACATGCCCTTTTTGCCCTTACACTCCGAAGTGCCCTTTTTTTGGTGATGTTTTTTTTCTTCCTTCAATAAATCAATGATATTGGTCACCCTTTACATCTATCTGTCTGCTTTACAAATATTTAGCTAATGAAAGGTATTAAAAAGAGCTTGTGACTAAATCTTGTTGGATCCGCTCAAACTGTCAGTAAACCTTATAACTCCACCCCCTCTATCTTGACTGAATGAACTGAAGATCCACAGCAGCTGAACTAGGTCTGCGAGGGTAAATAAAGATCTTGTTGTTTGAATAAGTACAGCGTTTTCTTTACGCAAGAAACACTATGTCTATAAAGGCTCATAATTTATGTAATGAATGGGGGAAAATCACGTGAGAGGAGGCAATGCCTCCATCACGATATGATTGGATATGACTGGTTATGTTCGGCTGTAATTGGTTCATGCGATAAATCCACGGCCCTTGTAACAAGTAAATCTCAGGTGTCAAAAATGATAAGCAGATCCTGTTGCAAAACACACACACACACAAAATCCACATCCAGGCACCTAGTAAGCGAGTAAAAAGCCTTTATTATAAGACATGGCTACATATTAAAAAGACACCATCCCATAACAGGTGTTTTACCTATCCCATCCACATAATGTGCAGCTATAAAAGTAAAACAACTCAAATCAGACAGAACTGAAACAGAAATAGTTGTGACTATCGCATGCAAGGTTGTTTAATCCTTAAATGAAAGCTATGCAAGTTAAGATTGAGTTAAAAGCAATTGACACATGGTCTGGGCTAAAGGCTGGTAGCAGGATTTAGGCTTTTGAGATCCCTGACATCTGCACAGACAAGAGAAAGAGAAGCACTTATCCAAAGAGAAAATCTCAATATAGCATTCAAAAGTGCTTAGCTGAAGAGGGTAAACAAGTCAATAAAATAGGAAAAACACTTTCAGTGAAAACAGTGAAAATGATGCTCTTACAATTTACAGACACAATTCCATTTTTTTTCTTAGAGAGGATTGTTGTTTCTTGAAGAGACAACCCCCCCCCCAAAAAAGAAAAACTCTGTAATAATTTACTGATGTTGTTCCAAACTGTATTACTTTCTCTTCTTTTTTTTTCTTGAACATGAAGGAAGATATTTTGAGAAATGCCTCACTGTTTTTTGTCCATCCATGTAAGTCAGTGCTCACCAAAACTGTTTGGTTACCAGCATTCTTTAAAATACCTTCTTTTGTGTTCAGCAGCAGAAGAAAAAAAAGCTATAGTTTTAGAATGACATCAGGCTGAGGAAATGATTATAGAATTTTCATTCATGGGTGACCCATCACTTTAATGGAGTCTGTGTCACTTTTCTCCACTTGTAGCAGGTGAAATATGACTGACTAATGTTGTTTTCATAAATATTTGGCAGTGTTAATAAGAAGTTACGGGCACACCTCTAAAATCGATACATAACACATTAGTCAATTATACAAACAGAAACACATTTACATATAGTCCACAAGAGAAAATAATAACTGAATTTATATAAATGACCCTGTTCAAAAGTTTACGCTTGATTCTTCAAAAAAATCCTTCAGGTCCCACAAATCCATTGGTTTTCCAGCATCTTTTGCATATTTGAACCTTTTCCAACAATGACTGTTTGATTTCGAGATCCATCTTTTCACACGGAGGACAACTGATAAGCAACTTTTACAAAAGGTTCAAACGCTCACTGATTTTGTAATAGTTGCATGTAAGTCTCTCAGTTGTCCTCAGTGTGAAAAGTTGGATCTCAAAATCATACAGTCATTGTTGGAAAGGGTTCAAGTACGCAAAAGATGCTGAAAAACAACAGCTGTGGATCATCCAGATAACAACAGTATTAATAATCAAGTGTATGTAAACTTTTGAACAGGGTGATTTTTATCATCTATTATTTTCTCTTGTGGACTATATGTAAACATATTTTATGTGAAATATCTTATTCAGGTCAGTACTAAATAGAAAATAACATGCATTTTGTATGATAATGGTAAAATAATTAACGTATTTTGCAGATACTGTAGAGTGTAACATTTTGACCACAACTGTGTGTGTGTGTGTGTGTGTGTGTGTGTTTTTCTGTTTCTCTTAAGTTTAATATTTTTAAATGTTTTTTCAGTGTTTATAATCTGAGGACAGGTGGTTTTAGGGAAAGTGAGTGATAATACCATTATTTTAATAAAATAACGATAAAGTCAATGAAATAGTAAATTTATGTCAAGAACATTTTAATGATCATTTCTGATTATTTTCACCCTGAAAATGTTGCACTTTTATCATTGTGGGTTTTGTCCCTTGTCTCAAGAACCAATGTTTATTTAATCAAAATCAGAAGATCCTATAGTGGATGCATTTTAATAATATTAGACACTTATTCCTATTCCTAATCTAATCATAAGGCATCTGTAAATCTCATTATTTTAGTAAGAGAATGATTGTGTGTTTGCATTAAATTATGCATGTGTGTTGACTCATTGTCTGTGTAGTGCAGATGGGCAATGACTGATTTGTGTCTTGTAATGCGGGTGTTGGGGGATGGTGGTCCCTTGAGGTGGGACACAAGCATGGCAGGAGCATGGGAACCCCAGAACCCCCTTCACTCCACATGCATACATCCATATTTATGAACCCACATCCAGACATCTCAAATCTCACATATGTGCAGGCCTGCAAAAAGGCACATACACACAGACTTTCCTCTCAGTCATTTTTAGTCACCCTGTCCAGTACCTCAAACACCATCATGTTCATCTTAATTAAGATTTCACTAATGATTTAAAAATAATGACTAAAAATCTCTTCATAAATGAAATTAACTTGCACATTCATTGTCCATTCACAATGCTCAGACTCAAAATATCCGACTTTGCG